CAAAAATAGCACAGCTGGAAGGGGGAAAATGGGTCAAGATGAATAAAAGTGGTGTAGCGAAGTCTTGTTTGAATATGCTCAAGAGAATGTGTCGTGCTTGTTGCTTGTAACACGTGGGGATAGATCTGAATACCTGATGGCACTGGGAAAATACGTTTGCTGAATTTCATTACTGTTAATTTAATGGCAGAAACTTTGTAGCAGTTAGTTAATTGGAATTCCAGAGTAACAGTAAGATGGACATTGAGGAGTCCAATGAGTAGCGTCCCCAATTACCTAATTGTGCTGGGCATGGTAAAAAGTAGCTATGCTTTAATTTCTTCATGGTTAACAACTTTGTTTGTGAAGCAGACAGATACGTCATGATTTGGTAGTTTGGCTTCTGAAGTGACTTTCATCCAGCTGCTTAATATCAAGTCTGTTCTTAGCATTAACTCTTCTGCAGAAAACAGTTGTTAGGGTTTATGTTTTCTGAGTGAACAAACCCACTGCTGCTCTAAGTTCATTATAAATACATTTATAAATATCCACTGAATTAGGTTATATTATGCATTTCAATCTTTTGAGAAGCATGTGACACACTTTATTTAGTATTTCAAATTTTGTAGTAGATTGTGGTTGGTGAAAGAATGTGGAAACCATACTCACAATCTTGGGTTTTAAATGTGTGAAATCACTAGTATTTTTTAAATAATGCTATATAATCTTCAGTTTAATCGAACTGGTTTTTTGGCCTTGCACGGATAGGTGCATGAACATGTGGATTGGAGTAGTTTTTGTTGATGTCATGCAGCCAATTGGCTTGCAGTAGCCGGCAGTCTTCTCATTGACTCCTGACTTCAAAGATTTCAGTGGTGGTTTTACCTGCATTTACCTGTGTTTTTCATGTGGCACATTTGACAGTGCTTAAGTATAGTTAGTTTATCTGTTTCAGTTTGATGCTTTTTTGTAGTTGTTACAGGCATGCCTTCCATTAACTACATAGAAACGTGTTTTAAAAAGCAGTCAGAAAAAGAAAAGCACAGAACATCAAACTTGCATTTGAATTGTTGTGTTATGGAATTGACTGAAATGGACTAAATTTGACTTTGATCAAAAGTTAACCTCAGCTCTTTTTTTTTTTAATTCATTACAAATAGGAATATGGAGTTAGAAGCACTCATTTGTTTCAGGGTCCGCACCTTTTCTGTCACCTGCAGCTGTATCAGATGGTGGACTTAACTGTTAAGATTCTGGATTAGATTTAGTTAGATCAGCCCAAAAACCTAACCGGGTTTGGAAATAATCTTCTAATTTCTGCTCTAAATGCATTTTAATGGCTAGATCATACCTACTTGTTGAGACAGTAGTTTGCAGATTGAATACTTGTGTGTCTTTTCTTCTTTATTTACATGTTATGCTTTCAAAGATGATTCTTTTCCTTTCCAACTTTCACTTTGTTAATCTTTCTGTCTCCATTCATAGGTCTTTCCTGTTCTCCATGTAGTGTTACCAGTCCTCTGCTTATGGTGAATGTATCTGCATTGTCTCTCTTACAGTGCTGTTTCCTCTGGAAAATTTTGAAGGGGGGTCCTCAAGTTGTGTTTGCCTCAGTCTTCCAGCCACACTGCACTGATGCTTCTAACATCATGTGTTTGGTTAACTGTGTCCAAGGACATCAGTACAGTACCTTTATGCATCAACTCCTAAGCTGCTTAAAGAAGAAATGAAACTTTGCCACTGTCATGCCGTTGTATTTCATCCTGGTTCTCCAGTTCTTCACGTGATTCAAATCATTTTTACATAAAAGCAACACTCAAATGAACTAACAGTTCATGTTTGCCAGAAGAGGTTATCAACAGTCTACTTACTGAGCTTAGTTCTTTAATGAGAAATGATAGATCAGGTTGATTCAATTTTATGTAAGAATTGAGATCCTTTAATGTCGTTTGAACTACGTGAGCAATTTCCATTCTCAGAACTAATTATTGTCTGCTCTGCATTGAATTCTTTACTGTTGTTCTTTCAACCAAATTAATGATTGTGTCATCATATCAGGTGTGTTTTAAAGTTCTAATATTTGTGGTAGAAAAGTTGCTGTTGCATCTGACTGACAGTCTGGCATTCTGTTCTACTTCAAGGTTGTGTTTGAAGCTGTTTGTATGATTGAGGTAGCATGTTTATAGTTACCTGAGTCACATCTTGCCCCCATTATATGCAGGGACCACAATGAATGTTTTTCAATTTTGCTTTGCCAAATACATTCATCTGGTACTTTATATACTAAAGCAGATGTTTTGAAATGTATCTTGTGTGTTGAAATGAACTTAAGTTCTAATTCTCATTGTTTGACATTTCATATATTCTCTTTTTACAGCACTATCTTGGTGGTATGTTGCGTACTGTCATACTTTATTGAAAGTTAGGGATGGTGCAGCTCTTTTGGTATTGGGGTCAAGCTGTTAAAAACCACATCTAAAGAACAATTACTCCTAGATTTTCTACTTCAAAAATCACCTTGGACCACATGACACATTTTGTGTCCTTTAGCTTGCTATTTTTGGAGTCATACAGGGTGTAAGGCTAAGATGACCATCCTGGTTCATGAGTTCACAGCTGAGGTCCAATTAGAAAAAAAAGCCACAGTTATAATAACCAAAGCATTATCTTAAATGTTTTTAGGAGGGATAATAATCTACTCTGTAGACAAATTGCACATTGATTTATGAACAAATCACTCAAAAAGATTGTAGTTGAATGCTTCTTCATAGCTATAATAGGAAAAAAAAGAGATTAAAGACTTTGGAATCAACTGGTTGGCTTGTGGTTTTGAATTTCTTCAGTGTAACTGAGTTGACAAACACTCTATTAGTTAATTGGTGCCTTAACACATTTGAAGCGCTCCCTTAGTTGTGTCCTTCTACACTATTAACAGTCTATTAATAGTCTGGCAGTTTTTGGAGATGTTCCAGCTACTGCATACCTTGGTGTGCTACCGTGTGGCTGCAGTCTTCCTTGTTACTGGCAGTCCAGCAGCAGCTCAGGAGAGATGTAACCATGGCCCTTTGTGTTTTGTTAAATGTGGTTTTGTTGTCGTGTTTTTGTCTTGCTTTAATGAAATATATTCTCAGAGGAAGAAATTCTCACACTTAGGGGTGTGGTATAGTATATAGTTCTAGTATAGTACTAGAATAACTAGTCTGTTTTATAACATTCTCAATCTGTTAAACTATGTGGCAGTTGTATCAGTTATCAGAGTGCAAGGTAGTGTTGAGAACTAAATCTTGTCAGGCAATTTCCTTTTTCTGAGAAGGAACAATAAAGGTTTCTAGAGAACTATTTGGCATAGTTCAGCTCAGAAACTGAAATGAAAACAAGAAACGGCTCAGAGGGTGGGTGAGAAATGTCTGAAATCTGCTCTGATAGTGTGGCAGAAAAGCTCTGTTGAGTTTTACTGTGATGACTGAGAAGACTGCCCCAACCTGCCTATACTGGGTTTTTGACGCTTGTTTGTTGCTTTTGTAGCCCGGGCAGCAGAACAAGACATGTTCACATATTTCCTATTGTGGCATTTCATGCTGAATTTCTGATTTTTCATCGGTGTAGCTTAAGTTTCCCTGCCACACCATGAAGTGTTGTCATTGTGGGTACAGCAAGTTTCGTAGTGCCTGTCTGCCAGTGCCTTGAGCCAGCTGGGTTGGACTGAAACGCTGGCAGCGGCAGCAAGGTAATGCTAGCAATTATGTGAAGGCGTTCTGCATACGTTTCAGGACAGAAGGGAGTTGCGGTCCAGCAGGGTTTTAGTTTCCGTTTTTGAGATATTCTTTTAAATGGTGATAAGCATTCCGGGGTTACAGTGATATAATAATTGGGAGTTGGGAAAAAGGATATGTTCTTTGTGTCATTTTGTTACATGTACTTTGATGCGCGTACTTATGCGTGGTGAAAATTGAGGTATTAAAGAAAGGAGATGCACACGGGTTGTAAGCTGTTGCGTTTCTAGAGACAGCGGCTGTTGGAGCTCAGAGCACTGGGGCCGTTAGTAAGGCACGCTGCCATTCGTGCAGCATGAGGACGATGCTGCCTGCCTTCCCCGACAGCCTGCACCACATTGAGGCTGCTCTGAGCCCACAGCTCAGGGCCTTGCTGCCGCCTGCACCAAAGTGCTTTGTTGCTTCATTAGAGAGAAGTCAGAGATGTGTGAAAAGTAGGGCACGGGTCGGAGGCTGCATGCCCCTTCCCGCCGCAATTGAAGTGACAGACACCTCCCGGCTCTGCCGCTAATTTCCCTCCATGGTGAATGCCTCTGAAGCACTAATTAAAATGAAAAGTTCTCGGGTCTTACGGCAGACAGATTGAGTTATTTCTGGTGGAAGCGGCCACCAGCAGTAATTGCAGCACAAATGCGAGGGTCTGCATTCATGAGCAGCGCCGGGCTGACAGGGGTCAGGGGGTCAGGCCCGCCGAAACAAGAGGCCGCACAAAGGCAGATTCGGGGTTCTCATCTTCCTCCTACAGAATCGCCTTTGTTTCTCTGCAATGTTTAGGTGTTCGAGCTGCTCTCGATTCTTTTCAGGCTTAATTACGCTTCCTTTTTTAATCACTGTAAAAAGTTCATTCAGCAGAACACAATCAACTACTGCACTTAATAAAGGAATGGTATTTGACCACTGCGGTCTGGAAAAGTAACTTTTTATTCAATCTAATTTTACATGTTAATCTGTTAAATAGCGCCTGTGATAGCTGTGTGAGTCAAAAAATTATGATGGCAACTGGTGAGTTAACAAACATCATAATTTTGTTTCAGCCATTAGAACTGCTGTGGGTCTGGTTCTTAGTTATTTTAGAAAATCCTAACTATTACTAATATTTTTAGTTACTGATCTTAATAAACATCCACTGCCTTAATTTTATTTTGCAGCAACCTAGTTATCTTCAGTGTGATGGAGAATGTTGAAGTCTTCTTTCTTTGTTTCAGAAATGCAAGTAGTAACTGAACACTATTTTACTGTATCTTTCAGGAAACGAAGTTGGAAAAGTTACAAAATCATCCTTGCAGTTTTGTATTAGGCTTCACCAAACAGGCTGAGCTCAACGTTCGTCAAGCAGAAGGGCCACTTGCCTTGCACAGGAAGGATTAAAAGTGAACAATGACTCGACTGAGAGTTTGTGAGCGATTGCTTGGAGCCTATCTGCTTATCATTCTCCATGTTCAAGGTAATTGTATACTAGCTGGAAAAAACCTTGTATTTCATCTGTAACTGAGTATGCATTCTGTTTGCTGTTGTTTTGTTGTGTATATTTTGGTGAGCTCTATGCTCACCAAACACCGAGGACCATTCTTTTTCAGGCAGGTTGGTATGTCTGCCTGACGTGTCAAACACCTACTAAAAGAAAAAAAAAATGGAAGATGATAGTGGTCACGTGGCGGTTAGATTATGGAGTATAGAACTGCAAATGCTTGAATAGAGCAGATGCCAGCACAGATACACTGTAGAGAAACTTATATGAGCAGTAAAACTGAAGAAATTCTGTGTTGTGACCTCTTGGATTTCAGTTTCCTACATGTCTGAACCCTTCAAATTTGACCCACTGTAGAAACTGCAGTGTGGAATTCTCCATATTTTTTTTTTTAACACAACAGCCGAGACAGTTCAGCATTAACTGAACAAACCATTTCTGCTCACTCAATTGGATGTGCTGAGGGTACATGGCGTTCATAATAGCCTGGTTTTTTGGTTAGTGAAGTATTTGTGAGTCTATTGTCTGTCTGGTCATGAATTACCAATAAGCTCTGGAGATACGGTTATCACTAGGACTTCTATTCCTCTCTTGAATTAGGTTAAATTAAAAAGAAAACCAGTGTGCCTGTCTTCTTGTTGTAACTTGATACAGAGTTGAAGCTTATAACTTTTAAGATTATAAATTTTAATATTATAATAACTGTCAAGGCTACAACTAGTTAGGGGGGAAGAAAGTAAGTTGGCTGTATGTTGTTCTGATGGGTGGATAAGAATCCCATTCTTGTTAGTTACAATGTTATCAGTGAAGCTATTTTAATAATTTTTATCTGGGAACTGCCCTAGCTTCTAACCTGCATGGGGAGAAATGCTTACACAGGTAACCAGGCTTTCCTAAGCAATACATATAAATGATATTTCAAATGAACAGTGGAAATATATTATGCTATCTGTGCTGATTGCAGCTTTGGTGTGGCAAGGGGCAGCCTGGCAAGGCTGTGACACAAAAGTATTTTCTTTGAATTGACTGTGGAGGAGCTGGTCAGCTACAATATGTCTTAAAATAATGAGGAACGCAGGGCAGTGCAGGGCAGATCATCTGTCAGCTTATTGCAGTATCGTTCTGCTCACTTGTTCACAGCTAAAGTTTTGTGGAACACAAGTCCTCTCTCTGGATACGTGCAAAACTTCGTCAAAAGTATTTAAGGCTGAAGTTCTTGTGCATGCACGCACTTTGGGTCCGAGGAGGAGCAAGGGGCTTGATTTGAAGCTTTGCAATTGTAGTGAATATTTCAAGGTTGTAGGCAATAAAACAATCATAAATGTAGGATTCTCACATCTTAGTTAACCCGGGAGAGGGAAATCCTTAATACTGGTCCCACATCCTATTGTGAATGTGCAATTTTTTAATTAACAAGAATTAATTGAATCTGTTTAGACAGAAATAGCTTAGGTTGCATGTAGTTGAAGTTTAGAGTACAGATTCACTTCTATTTACAAATAGCTCTAAGATAATTAAATCTATTCCTGCTAGCAATCTCAGTAAAGGAAACTTTGGAGAGAAATCAGGAAAAATAAAATTTGTGATGACTGCAGTCAAGCATAGAACAGGCTGCCTAAGAAGCTGTGCCTTACCTGTCCTTAGGGCTGTCCAAACCTTGATTGGAAGACTTTGAGCAACCAAGTCTAACTTACAAGTTGGACCACCTTTGACCAAGTGGTGTCAGGGACACATCAATGGAACAGAAAGATCTGTTCCACTCTGGATTATTCTCAGATATAGTAATTTGTAGTAGAGCTTGTTCCACTAGCATTTTACTCAAAAGCAATACTAACTGGAAAAACAAATTTGTTTCTCTTTCATATCTCCCTAGTTACAAATGGAAATAAGATAAATGTAGAGATCTCAAAGTGACTTAAAATTCAACTACATTCTTTCTGATAACAATGCTTGAATGAATATTTTCTACTATATTATAATAATAAATTTCACTTAATTAATTTGAAATACTCTGTATTCTGAAAAAAAAATCTGCCTCTGAAGAAGGAATTACTCTTAAGAATATCTCTTGACTTTCATATCAATACAGGGAAAGTTCTGAAAGCCCTGAGAAAATTGAGCTACCTGAAATGTTGCTTCTTTGATGCAAATTGCCTAAAGGCTTGTCTTCAAACACATGAAATGTATTGGGGAAGAGGGGGTAAAAACAGAAGGAAAAAAAACAAAAACAAAACAAAGACCCAGTCATCTATACACTTGTTGGATTCTTGGGGGAATCTGGTTTAGGGCAATGTGGAACAAATAAGCTGATAGTTACAAGTATTATCTTAGGAAAGAGGATTGCATCTTCTTTTTAGCTTATGGAACACTGCCCTGGTTGAGAAATGATCAGAAATGGATGTGAATAGCAGAGGATTAAATTTAATAGCCTTTATTTGAGGCACAAACCATTTCTGTATTTCTTTTCTCATTGTGGAAGACCTTTACAATATCATCATAGATGTAACTTAGTCTCCATTCACTACTGCTTTACATAGACAACCAGCTACTTTTGCTTATCTTAGGCAAGAATTCATCACCTTCAACTACAATTAAGCACTGTAGTAAATGAGTATTTGTCTTACTGCTAGTGCGGGTTTTCAGTTCACAGAACCAGTTTTACTTCAGAGTAGCATTCCTTGTTTTATACAGTACCATAATGAGCAGAACTAATCAAAGTATGCAATGGGCTGTTTAAGTAGCTTCAAGTATACTTAAAAATGTTCTCCTAAATTTTAAACTTGGATATAATTATAATGTAATATTAGACACCTAATTCATCACGTTTTTGTATGTTCCTCAGGCACACTGCGGAACACCAGTATAGTAGATCATCTAAATTAGTTAACAAAAAAATTGCATTCAATATATATGAAGAAAATTTTATTGAAACTTAAATTTTAAAACCTTCTTCAGTATTAAGACTTAAAGTTGGTACTGTCAATTAGTGAACAGAAAATAAATCTGTTCATGTTTGTTTTCAGTATCATGCTTCCTGTTATTTGTATGGTCAAGAGATCTATGTCCAGGTGGAGACTGGTTGTGACTGGTGTTCCCTAGGGGGTCAGTCTTGGGAGTGGTGCTCTTTAATATCTTTATCAACTAGCTAGAATGGTTGTATCAAGTGCACCCTAAGCAAGTTTGCTGATGACACCAAGCTGAGCAGTGCAGCTGACACAATAGAATGAAGGGATGCCATCCAGAGGGACCTGGGCAAGCTCAGTAAGTGGGGATGTGAAAATCTAATGAGGTTTAACAAGACCAAGTGCAAGGTGTTGCATTTGGGTCAGGGCAGTCTCGGATGGGCACAGGATAGGAGAAGAACTTATCAAGAGCAGCCCTGCACAGAGGAACTTGGGGATCCTGGTAGACAAAAGGCTGAACGTGATCCAGCAGTGTGTGCTTGCAACCCAGAAAGGCCAACTGCATCCTGGACTGCATTAAAAGAGTGGCTAGTAGGGAGAGGGAGGGGGTTGTCCCCCTCTGCTCTGCCCTTGTGAAGCCCCATCAGAAGTATCGTGTCCAAGCCTAGGGTCCCCCGTGAAGGAAAAACATGGAGCTGTTTGAGGAGGTCCAGAGGAGGGCCACAAAGATGCTCACTGGGCTGGAGCACCTCTTTTGTGAAGAAAGATTGAGGAATTTGGGCTCAGTTAGCTTGGAGAAGTATCTGGGGAGACCTCACTGCAGCCTTCTAGTGCTTGAAAGGGGCTTATAAGCAGGAGGGGGGCTGACTTTCAATGTGGTCTGATAGTGATAAGAAAAGGGGGTATGGCTTTAAACTAAAAGAGGGGAGATTTAGGTTAGCTGTTAGGCAGAATTTTTCTTATTCCGAGGATGGTGAAGTACTGGAACAGATTTCCCACAGGAATTGTGGACACCTTGTCTCTGGAGGTATTCAAAGCCAAGCTGGATGGGGGGCCCTGGGCAGCCTGATCTGGTAGGTGACAGTTGCCCATGGCAGGGGGCTTGGAACTGTGTGATCTTTATGATCCTTTCCAACCTAAGCCATTCTAAGATTGAAAATTATTGTGTTGAAAATAGTTTATTGAACTTTAATGCGCTTTATGAATTTCATGTTTTGTGTTTAAGTTCAGTAACTAACCTGAAAAAATCTGTATGTTCTAAAATCTGCAGAAGGAACTTGATTTTTCAGGGTCTGATTTATTGCTTAGGAACGTCATATTTCTGTTTACCTGTGTTCTTCCCAACTCATGGTTCCATATATCTTTAAAACATTGGCAGCAAACTTGTTAAATTATTGTCAATTAAAACTTGTTAAATTATTGGTAAATATTTCTTCTGATTAAGTTACTTCAATGGATTATGAAGAGAGTATATATATCTGTATCTTACTTATGCTAAATTTGAGATTAACTTTGTTTTTCAAAAGTACTCTTAATGTAAGCTGTAATGCAGTTAAACTATGTGGCATACCTCCTGGGGCAGCCAGAGGGTGGCAGTGAAGGGTTTTAAACAAGCAGTCTGGGAACTTCTGATTTTTGTTGTTGTTTTTGTTTTGTTGTCATTGTTTGTTTTTTAAGGAACCAGTTCTGCTAGGTGGAGCTGCCTATAACATGCCTGGCCTTCAGAGATCACACTCTTGACACATTTATTTAAAAAAAAAAAAAAAAAAAAGGCAGCTCTATAGAAACTTAAAGATTAAAAATACCAGAATGCAGAGCTCATAGAAGTATTGAAGATACTTTATTTGTACCCATAACACTAATTTTCTGTGTTACTGTGTTTTTAATGGAAAGTGCTGTTATTTTGTTCAATCTGTGCCCATTACACCAAGGTTTGTATACAGTACATCTTGGAAACTTCTCATCAGTAGAATGGTGACAGGCCTTGGCTGTAATATCTCCTTTTTTCTAAGGAAGACCTATTTAACATAAGAGGTATTTAGAGTACTATAGTTCTGTTAGGAAAAATCCCTTTTAAGGATAATTTATTTTGGAATGAAAGTGTTTTCATGTATAATGTCAGTATAAACTAGAGGAAAGTGATACTATTATGAATTCATTAGAAAACTTCTGAACAACTTGAGTGGACTACCTGGACTTGTGCAAAGCATTGGATACTGGTTTGCATGGCGTTCTGGTCACCAAAATGGAGGAAAATGGATGTGATGGATGGACCACTCTCTGGATAAGGAATTGGCTGGATGGTTGCACTCAGAGAGTTGTGGTCAGTGGCTTGATGTCCAAGTGAAGATTGGTGGTGTTGGGAGCAATGCTATTTAACATCTTTGTAGGCAGCATGGACAATGGGATTGAGTGCACCCTCAGCAAGTTTTCAGGTGACACCAAGTGAGTGGTGCAGTTGACACACTAGAGGGAAGAGGTGCTATCCAAAGGGACCTGGACAGACTTGAGAGGTGGGTCCATGCCAACCTCATCATATTCAACAAGACCAAGGGTCAGGGCAGAGAGCAGCCCTGAGGAGAAAGATTTGGGAGTGTCAATTGATGAAAGATTGAACACAAGCCAGCAGTGTGCACTTGCAGCTAGAAGGCAAACCGTATCTTGGGTTGCATCAAGAGAAGTGTGACCAGCAGGTGGAGGGAGGTGATTTTGCCCCTTTTACTTTGCTCTAGTGAGGCCTGGATACTGTGTCCAGTTCTGGAGCCTCCAGCACAGAAAGGGTATGGAGTTGTTGGAACAGGTCCAGAGGAGGGCCATGAAGATTATCGGAGTGTTGGAGCACCTCCTGTACAAGGACAGGCTGAGACAGCTGTGGCTCTTCGGCCTGGAGAAGGAAGGCTCCAAGGAGACCATACAGCAGTCTTCCAGTACTTGAAGGGGGCCTACAGGAAAGATGGGGAAGGACTTTTTATAAGGGGAGGTAGCGACAGGGTGAGTCGAGGGTGAGGGGAAATGATTATAAAGTGGAAGAGGGTAGATTGAGACTAGATATTAGGAAGAAATTGTTTACTGTGAAAGTGGAACAGGTTGACCAGTGAGGTTGTGAATGCCACCTCCCTGGAAGCATTCAAAGCCAGGCTGGATGTGACTTTGAGCAACATGATCTAGAGGGTGATGTCCCTGCCTATAGCAGGGGAGTTGGAACTAGATGATCTTAAATGTCCCTTCCAACCCAAACTGTTCTATGATTCTCTGAATTCAGTAACTAGTTCTAGCATTACAGCTTGATTTGTGGAGGATAGTTGATTATGAAATCACAGGCATAATTTTGGTTGAAGTAAACACAGAACATATGAGGCAATGGTATGGAGGAAATGCTAAACTGTTGGCTTGAAGTTTCATCAGCTTCTCTGTGGTTGTGTGAGAATGTTTGAGCTCACCAGCACTGACATTTGGTTCTGGCTGTGACCTTCCAGCCAGTTCCTTATCTACTGAATAGTCCACCCTTCAAATCTATTTCCCTTCAGTTCAGAGATAAGGATGTTGTGGGGTGACCATGTCAAAGGCTATGCAGAAATCCAGGTAGATGACATCAGTTACCTTCTGTTGCCGTCACTCCATCATACAAAGCCACTAGATTGGTCAGGAACAGCGTTCCCTTGGTGAAGCCATGCTGGCTGTTTTGGATCACCTGCTCATCTTTCGTGTGCCTTGACATGCCTTTCAGGAGGATCTGCTCTATGATCTTTCTAGGCACAGAAGTGAGGCTCATCGGCCTGTAGTTCCCTTCCTCCCTTTCTTGTAAATAGGAATGACGTTTCCCGCTTTTCACAAATCTTGCTATATAAATCATCCCTAAAGAATTAAGAGGAAAAATGTATTTTATTTTTATTATTTTGTATTTATGAAAGACTGGTAGACACTAGTCTTCCTGCAGCGTTAGTTTAGGAAAAATAATACTGCTTGAAAAATGCCAGACAGGGCTTAAAATTTAGATGGCACCTTTACACTGGCAGGGAAAATGAAAACTGTCCTTCGATAATTTATAGATATTTCTGTCAAAAAGTTCTGGGGAACTATATGGTTATGTTAGCCTGAACCTATTACAAATTGCAGTTTCATATTTTGTTTATTCTCATAAGAGCTGGGAGCAGCCCTACATTAATGGGCTTGATATCTTCTAACAAACTGAAAAAATGCCTTTAATGTGCAGAGTAGGAAGATGGATGAGTGTCTGTGAGATGTAGGTCGTAAAGTGTTCAGACTTCGAACATGTGGAATTTCCCTGAAGATATAAGGGGTTTTACAATATTAACTATTTAGTTCCTAAATTAGGGAAATATATCTTGGTAGTTGGACAAAATAAGAAGGAAAAATAATATTTGTGTTTATGCAGTGGCTTTTCCTTCAAGTAAATAGTAAGTAGAATTATCGTTTCTCTGAGCAGGTCAGGATTTCTCAGAAGTGAGAACAGTGTTGTGTAACATCTGCAGCACGGTATTAAAATGAACTTACAGTTTTTGCTGGGCTGAAAACTATAGAAAGAGAGAAAGGACAGATGTGGATGAGTGGGCACTTGAGAAGTGCAGAATTCCTTTTGATTAAATCTGAAATACCTGTTGCGCAAGTAAAGGTGGTGTGCATGGATGTTGCTGAAGTACTGTTGAAAACTGTTTCAAATAAAACATGGCTAAGTGATCTGAGTTTTTAGGTAGAATAGGGAGGTACTCTTAATTGTATCTGAAGAAGATTCACTTACAGTGAAATAGCTGAGTTGGGGCTGCGCTCCCTACTATATTTAGAACATATTTAGATATTTAGAACACTACTATTCACGCATTTTGACAATGGATGTTAGAACAGAGTCGTGCAGAAAGTGATAGCTTCACGTTTTACCAGTCTTCTTTGCACATCTCTCAGCCACAGTGCAACATTAGAGTAACGTCTTCATTTCTCTACAGTTAGTGGTCTAGGAGTTCACCAAGAAGCCCCAAGAATCTGTTATGAAACCATGAGCTTCCTCCAAAATGTTTTATTCCACGATACGTTGAAAGTGTTCATTGTGACAGACCTTTTTGAGAGGTACTGAGGTACTTGCACTTGCTGGGTTGTAACTGATTTTTTAAAAGCTTCCATCAGTATGAATTGGCTGCTCTTTTCTATTACACAGTAAGCATCTCACACAGATTGGCTGTAAATTTGGTCAGTGCAGGTGAGTCTGTTCACAGTTCTTCTGATTTTGTTTGGCTTACGCTTTGAGGACTTAAAATACCAAGAATAGTGTTGGGGCAACTCTTGGAAAAAGTTTTTTTCATGGTGATGTTACATGCAGTAGAGCTGAAGGAAACGGATGAAGATCATGTCTCATAGTGGTCACAAAGCATATTCCAAATGAGGTAGTTCCAGTTTTTTTTTTCTGGATGTTCTTCCTCAGAAGACAGATGATGTTTTTCTTATGAATTCCTACATTCAGAAATGCACTTTCATAATACAAAGTAGAGTAAATGATGCTCAAGTCTACTAATGCCAAGCAACTGAAGGCTACTTGGGAACATTATTTAGCCCTATTTTTGTTCTCTGAAAGCTCATTTGTGAAAATGTTCATGTCATTTATGGAAATCTAATTTGCAAACAAGATTTACCTTAGCTCTGTTTTGAAGTACTAATGCATGCAGAGATCAAAAAAACCCAAGAGATTCTGGAGTTATTAATGCTCTTCTGTGAGACCGTGAGTCCATAAAAAATGACTTCAGTTCAGAGAATTACAAAATTGCATATTAAGTGTGTTTGGTCATGCATAAAATTATGCTGTTGTGGTTACCCAGCAGCCAGCCTCTTGGCTTTCTGAGCACAGGAATGAGAAAGGCTTTCTGCAGAAAATTCTTACCAGCCTTGCATTACTACTTTTCTGCCCCACCTCAAAAAGGAAAAATATCCTGTTTATATTGATTGTGGCTAAGATTGTGATTTGCTGCTCAGAAACAAAATATAAGCTAGATGTTTCTAGAATAGAATGTTTAACTCGAAGTTGTGTCATTCTCAGGTTCTAATATCTTGTATAATGCAGTTACATGATAATAAAAGCTTTCTGTTGTAGCAGATTTTTCTCTGAAATTCCTAACCAGTTCTCAGAGTTGCAGAAAATACATATTCTTTTATTTTTATTGTTTAAATGTCTAGGACAAAATCTAGACAGCATGCTCCATGGCACAGGAATGAAGACAAATCCTGACCAAAAGAAACAAGGAAATGGGGTAACACTTGCTCCAGAAGACACCTTACCATTTCTTAAGTGCTACTGCTCAGGACATTGTCCAGATGATGCTATTAATAACACATGCATGTAAGTATTGTACACAGGACAAAACAGGCTCTTTGAGGAGGCTTTTTGCTCATGAGAGCGTGAAGTATCTCTACTGTGCTGAATCAGGCTCTGTCAGGTGATTTGGTTGTAATTCAGTGGTGCTGTGAAAAGCTGAGAGCTAAAATCCACAGTCGTCTGTAAATAAACAATGCTGCTTTTACTAGAACCATTTGCAACGAGTCATTTTGCCCCAGCAACTGCTTGGAAAAACAGAGTTTTTAAGTGACCTGTAGCATTTTAGAACTGGGTAAACATTAAATAATGAAAATCTAAACCTTCTGTTTTGATTATATTGCCTGTTACTGTCAAATATTTTTTCAGTTTAAAAAAAAAAAAAAAAAAAAAGAGTTTGTGTTACATGTGCATTTACTGAGTATTTTTCATGTTATATTTTAAGGTATAGAGATGGGTGAGGGAAAGACAGGCTTTAAAAAAGTTTTTGAACATAGGAGCAGCTGGGTAGCTTTAACTTGGATAAGGCACAGGTATCTTACAAGGATCATTGATTGTATGCCCCCTTAGGATGTTTGATGTTTTTACTTTCATTTCTTTGATTGTTCCTGACTCTTTGTTCTCTGTTTTTTCATTCACCTTTCCATCTTTAAAGAAACGTGGAAACTCGTCCTTAAGAACTGATCTAAAGATAGATCATAGCAAGTATTGTGCTTTCTAATGAAATTTGACTATTTACAATATTAAGAGCCTCTAAAGCTGTTGCTTGGCATATAATGTAGCTTTTATGGATCAAATCTTGATAATGCATTCTGAAACATAAATTCACATAGTATTTTAGAAACATAGTTCTCCAGCTAGAAAATGTTCATAGATCACTCAGATTTTTTTATCTCTAAATTCCCTTACTGCTTTTCTTTTGCTTTTTATCGCCCTCTACTGTATAAAGTCAATGTAGGCCTTCATTATTATTTTTTTTTCCATCTGAAGTGACTAATGGGAATAAAACAATTATTCTGAAATAACACTGTTCATTTCTTTACCTTAATTTAAACACTCCTATTCAGAAACTGGTTGTGAGTGTTCTGCTCAGAGTTACATTTTGGATGCTGTTTGTATGTTGTTTACTCTTTGGTAGTGTCTTTCATTGAAGGAGCTTCACAGAAGAGACATAGGAATTTGGGGGTTTTGTTGTTTGGGTTTTTTTTTAAACATATAAATTTGTAAACCAGTGAGCTTGCTTGGTCTCATCTCTGCACAATCCACGTTCCTCAGTTGTTTCTGAACAACTGTCTGTGTGATTGGTTTAAAAATAAATAAATAGTTGGGGAAAATTGGAGTGTAAAGGCAGAAATTTGAGAGGAAATATCCCTGCAGTCTTTTATTTGAAAATACTGGGAGAGGGGAGAAGGAATGGTGATCTCAAACTGTGTGGTAGCCACTACTACAGACAGTTATTTTTGTTTTAGAAACTGCAATGCTTGATTAATTCATAGTCGTCTAATGCTGCATATCAGACAGCAAACAGGTTGGTAAAACACATCTAATTTGTTTATTCCAGAACTAATGGGCATTGCTTTGCTATCATTGAGGAAGATGAACATGGGGAACCAACACTTGCTTCTGGCTGCATGAAGTATGAAGGTTCAGACTTCCAATGCAAGGTAAAAAGGAGACACTGTTAAAATTGGAAATATCCATGGAGTTTATTTAGGAAAACTGCATAAGTAACTTAAATCTCTGTAATTTGACTGCAGTCGTAATGCTTTACATGTTGCTGTTCCACTGAGGAGATTGGGATTCTTTATGGGTTTTTGAGCAAAGATTAGAGTAAAATCCAGGCTTTTTAGAGCTCCCTGCAAGTAGTTCCAATTTGGTGACAAAATGAACAGAGGACAACAACCTTTTACTTCTATCAGCTGTTTCTTTAGTTGAAGAAGCAATTCTTTAGTAAAACTAATTGATCCAGGGAGCTTGTTATAGTTTGGGATTTCTTGATTGTCTGAATTTGTAACTTCTTGTTTTCTTCAGTTCATTTGACTGGAGAGTACTAACCTTAAGCATCTATGTCCACAGGTTACAAGAGTTCCCTTAAAGTTAGATGAACACAATTTAGCAAATGTCTATATTCTGTTAGATACATAGCTTTTTTCCTTATCAGAGAGGTTATTTATAATTAGTTGCATATAACTTGCTTTCAATTTGAACTGCTGTGTTTAAATAGAGCAAAGCCTATAGAACTCCTTATCTGTTACAGAAATAGGAACTGAAAATGCAGCTAATAGAGCAGGGATTTGTTTAGAAGAAGGGGATATAGCATTAGCTGAGGAACTGCCTTTTTCCTTTGTCACATTCCTTATGTTAAACAAAGCTGATAGAGATAATCACCAGCTGTATTGCGCTTTTTAATTTTTTTTATTTATTTTATTTTTGCCAAAATGCTATCTCTGTTTTGAATACTCAGAATATCTTTCTTGTAAGCACTCTTGACTCCAGTAACAGAGGTGAAAGTTTAACATTACTGCAAATCAGACCTGAGGTATCACGATGACCTGCTGAAATTGTTCTTCTGTTTGTAGTAGTGTCTTACCTTCAGGTTAGGTTACATGCTATTCCATCTTTTATATATTGTTCTGAAAGTGTTCTCGAAGCAAATAGTGCTTCTATAGTGAATGCAGTTGAAATTTCTAAAGCAGTTGGCTTTTCTGTCATAAGAGTAATATTTATTTAATATATATTAACTGCTGTTGGCTAACCTTAAAAATTCTACAGTATATGAAATAGCCAGCTAAATTGCATGTATTTATTTTTGTGCTGTAATGTGAAAAAGAAGCAATACACTTGTTTAACATTTGCACCCAAAGAAATTAGATGGTACTTTTCTACCACTGTAAAGGTCTCATGCATTAAATGATGGAGTTGAACTGTTTTCTACTGGGATTTTTTTGTTTGTTTGTTTGTGTTTTTAAATTAAGATGACCTAAACTTTTGTTTCTGCTGAGTTGTATCAGTAGTATCCAGTATCCAAGTATCCAGTGCTTGTCCTAGCTGGTCACTTCAGAATCTGAATGTTCCAATTTTCCTTCAACAGGACTCACCAAAAGCACAATTACGTCGGACGATTGAGTGCTGTCGGACTGACTTCTGCAATCAGGATTTACAGCCAACATTACCACCGCTCGATAGTACAGGTAAACAGCTCCTAAGCGTTCACATTGCTGCTGCTATTGTGTGTGTTCTCTGCTTCTTGATCAACACAAGGAGAAAACGTAATAACAATATTGCAGTAGTGTGGTGTTTTTTTTTTTTCCTAAAGTCATTTTGATTTGAAGCTCTTTATTATTCTTCACTCTTTATTTCTAGTTTTCTGGCATTTCAAAGCTAAGTTTGTTTCTCCACAGTCACGATATTTTTACTCTTAGCTTATTCACTTATATCTTGATCTGCATGTGATCTTCTGATCTGTTTATTTACATTAAGATTCCAACAACCCTTCTCTTCTTTAGACTGAGCAGTCCCAATTCCCCCAGCCTATTTTCACAGGAGAGGTGCATCAGTCCCTTCAGCATCTTTGTAGCCCTTTGCTGGACTTTCTCTGTGATGTCCATGGTGTCTCTCCTGTGAGCATGGAGCCCAGAACTGTTCTCAAAATGTGTCCAGTGCTGGACAGAGAACAATGGTCACCTCCCTTGGCTTATTGGCAATGCTCTGCCTAAAGCAGATGAGGACACAGGTAGACTTCTTTGTGGCAAAGGCACATTGCAGGCTCATGAATACAATTTTTTTCAAATTTTCAGTAACCTTATCATTCAAACTGTTTCCTCTAAACCAAAAGCAGTGGTGGTTTACAATGGTAACATTGGCTGCAAGCTGAAGTTTTAAAATGGAGATTTTTCACCTGACGCACAGTTCTCAAACTGTTCCATTCACAGAATCACAGAATGTCAGGAATTGGAAGGGATCATGGAAGATCATTTAGTCCCATCCCCCTGCTGGAGCAGGAACACCTACATTAGGTCACATAGGAGCATGTCCATGCAGTTTTTCAGTGTCTCCAGATAAGGAGACCCCTCTCTGGGCAGCCTGTTCCTGTGTTCTGTTACTGTGAAGAAGTATTTTTTTCACATTTATGTGTAAACTCCAATGTTCCAGCTTGCACCCGTTGGCCCTCGTCCTATCGTTGGGGATTTTTCGCATAAGCATTTGTGTTTATCTAACCTGATGGTGATTAATGACAATAATATGGCATTTCCTCATAGCTTTGATGGTCTGTTTTTTACACCTAAAATAGTCAGTATCTGGACTGCAATTGCTCTGCCTGTGGTTTGTTTTTTTTTTAAATAAATTAACTTTGTGTTAATGGATAAATGAATCTCATACTCTTGTAGATTGATCACTTCCCTCTTTTTCTGTGAACCAGCTACTTTTACCTCCGTTTTTAAGACTGCAAAAGCACATAAATTTCAAAGAATACTGAACACCTTAAAAATTCCTTATATATAATAATATATAATATATAATTATTAAAATATTATATATATATATAATATAATAAATTCCTTATTCTCTTGTGTATAATGTTGGACCCTAGATTCTGCTTAACTGTTTTTCTATTTAAATGAATTCCTATTATGTGTTGTCATCTCTAGTAAGTGTTTCCATTAGGGTAGCAGTGTAGATTCCTGAAATGCTCAGTAGCAATGGGAAGTTCTCAAGTAGGCTCTTTGTAATAATTTGCCAGCAATTAATCTTTTGACAGTTTTGTCAGTTCAGAATTTACGTAAGGGTCCCTGAGTGTATTAATCTGCTTATTTTATAAGTAAACAAGTCCTACTACAAAATTGACTTCTGTTGAGAACCTATGACACCCAAGGTACTATATCTCTTACTCATTCAATTCCACGAGTGTTTTGAATGATTAAATTTCAGTCAGTAGCTGTATTTGAAGAAATACAGTTTGTTCTCATGTCTGGATTCTATAATGATAGACCAAAACCCTAACAAAAAAAAAGATTAAAAAAAAAAAAAAATCCAACAATGTTACTGTGGTTACATTTTTATAATGAGTGAGTTGATTCTGATGCCATAATGTGCAAAAGATATGCACTAAATTTTTTTTATTATTAGCGTTGTGTTTTGTCATCTGTCAGTACTGAAACTTTATTACCTGCTTAATTTATCAGCAGTATTATAAATAACAATGATGACATCAGGAAATTCTAGGTAATTATCCTGTAGGTCTGTTTCATTGCTATGAAATGAAGTTTTATTGTGTTTCCATCACTTGCACATGCTTATGTGCGTACACAGGATATTTAAAGCCTTAATATGGCAAATGAAATGCAGTGCTTTGAAAGTCCTAAGAGAACTTTTGCTGTATAGTCTGCAAGATCTCTAGAGCTGTCACATTTTCTGGGACACTGTTTATGTCATCACTATGCAATTCTAAAGCGTTCAGTAGATGAAAAGGTAAAATCTGAATAAGCTGCATGTGCTCCACATATTTTATTAATGAACTACTTTGGAAATTATTTTTTTTTTTTTTTTTTAATAGATGGACTTTTTGATGGCAGCATTCGCTGGATGGCAGTCTTAATTTCTATGGCAGTCTGCATAATTGTCATGATCATCTTATTTAGCTGCTTTTGTTACAAGTAAGGAAAGCACTTCATTTATTGGTAACATTTTTCATTTCTCAAATGAGTGTAAATAGAGTAGTTTGCATTGCTATATAAAAATGAAATGTTCAGAACTTGGGACTAAGATTATTTTGATTCTTTATTCTAGGTACCAAGTGATTGTTGACAGTTTTATAAGCCATGTGTAGCTTTATTATAGCATTCAGTTAAGAGGATTATGTCAATTGTATATTTAAATCTTTGATCGTTTTGTTGATTAAATTTGTTGTCAGACTTACCTTTGCATAATATTTCTGCAAGCCTTAAGCAACAAGTTTTTTGACTTTCTGCTATTTTTAAATAATTTACTGCCTGAGCTATGGTAGCTGATACAAGTGCAGTTTAATGCCTGCTTTTGTCTGCTCCAGCTCTTAGATGGAGGTTAGCATCATTCTAACAGGTTCAGCAGCAATGTATGTGTCTGCCCCATCTGCCATGGTTCAAATTTCAGTCTTTTCCTCTAAGCCAAAAGCAGTGATGGTTTATACTGGTAACATTGGCTGCAAGCTGAATTTTTAAAATGCTGATTTTTCACCTGACACGCAATAAATTGCTGTGCCTCTGTACATAATACAAGTTTTTTGTGTTGAAAGAAAAAAAAACAATAAGAGCAAACCTCTGTAAGCTGCATTTCTGGATAAAATTGTGCAGTGAAATCTGCTTTTCTTAAGAAAACTTGTACTACTTGTATAGCTTTTTTCCTAGCTTACTACATAGTCTGAAGAAGTGTTTTGAAGCTCAACTTTTCTTCTACTCTTACTTTTTGCAGGCATTATTGTAAGTCAATGGCAAAGAGACACTGTTATAATCGTGACCTGGAACAAGATGAAGCATTTATTCCAGCTGGGGAGTCATTAAAAGACCTCATTGACCAGTCGCAGAGTTCTGGCAGTGGCTCAGGACTACCATTACTGGTAAATTGTAAACCCAAGATTTCCAACAGTGAACCTGTGTCCATTTACTATGAAATTTGGCTTAGTGCTTAATGCCTAGCTTATCCATTAATTATTTTTAATTTTGCAATTACTGTGGAAGATGAAAGAAAAACTGAAGTATGGAAGCTCATACTTGAAGTGTAAAAGCAGGTTAGCAGGTTATTTGTTAGGAAATCTGTTGCTATCAGCAAAATAGAGGGAGAAGATGGAAACACATTGAATGGATAACACACGTATGCAACTGAATGAATTCCCTTTTTTTCTCTGTCTACTATCTGATAAGTTGATTTGCTTTTTATTGGTTAATAGTTGTTTGCGTTTTTTTATTCAACATCATAGTTAATACTTGTATGAGAATTGGTAAGTGATAAGTGTATGATTCATAATCTAGAATCAAATAGAACGCATCTTACTTAAATAAGAAATTGTTCTGATTTCTTCCCTAGAGAAAACAACAAGTTTAAAATGAGAATTATGGAAAATAATATAGAACTAATTTTCCAATGAGATGAAAATCCAAAGTAACTAGGTTTGACAAGCTTCTTGCCCTAGGTGCCTTTGGTTCATTGCTGGAATTTACTCTTCTCCCTCACCCCTTCTTTTTTGTTCATTTTCTTCAGGTTCAGCGCACTATTGCCAAACAAATCCAGATGGTGAGGCAAGTTGGAAAGGGACGATATGGTGAAGTGTGGATGGGCAAATGGAGGGGTGAAAAAGTTGCAGTCAAAGTGTTTTTTACCACAGAAGAAGCCAGTTGGTTTCGAGAAACAGAGATTTACCAGACTGTTTTAATGCGTCACGAAAACATCCTTGGTAAGGAAACAGCACGGTGTTTGTTTGAGCTTATGTTAGAGTGAAGAAGGAGGAGCTCTTACTGAATGGGTTAAGGAGCATGTTGCTTCCTGTGTGAAATTATCTGGTGGCTGCCTCTTAATGTATACTAATAGAATACTATAAAAATAGTAATTCTTTATACTTTTGGTTGGAAACGTCTGCCATCTCTGTGCTGAAAGTCTGGAGTGGGGACCTCATACAGGAGAAATCTGAACTCTTGTGTTACCAGTGTTCAAAGGGGGAAAAGATATTCTGATGCAGTCTAAGGCAAGAAAGCTTTAAGAATTCTTAATGTGTTGCATGAAGAACTTACATGCAAACAATCAAAAGTTTGTTTTTATGTGTTTGATAGGTTTTATAGCTGCAGATATTAAAGGCACTGGATCCTGGACACAGCTTTACTTGATTACAGATTATCATGAAAATGGATCACTATATGATTTTCTGAAGTGCACTACACTAGACAACAGGGCTCTCCTCAAACTGGCATACTCTGCTGCATGTGGTCTGTGCCATCTACACACGGAAATCTATGGGACACAAGGCAAGCCTGCTATTGCACACAGGGACCTGAAAAGTAAAAACATTTTGATAAAGAAGAATGGGACATGCTGTATTGCTGACTTGGGTCTCGCAGTCAAGTTTAACAGGTAGATAAACAAATCTTCTGTAACAGGAAAAAAATTGGGTTCTTTCAATGCACCAGTTTAAGAAGGGAGACTGAGTTGTTTGGTTGCATTTTTTCGGGGATTTTTTTGTTGGTTTGTTTTGAGATTAAAATGTGATTAATCCTTGGAATGCTGGTAAGCATCAAGGTGAAAACAGGTTAAGAAGTGAATGAAGTGGAAAAAAACACAACAACCCTTATTTGTGGAAAGTCACAATATTTTTTTAGAGGAAAGGAAGAAAACTAATTTGTTACTCAAAACTGACCTTTCATGCTAACTGCTCCAGTTTTGTTATAAATTACCCCACGGAAAATATGAACAGTGTGAAAGGAGTTGAAACTAAATGATGAAAATAATACTGTAGTAGTAACATTGAAAATACTTCTTCCTTTAATTTTACAAGCTCAGTGAAACCTGAGATAAGTACTACACTAGAGCATGCAAGAAAGCATGTAAGCCTTTATGAGTAGTTTTCATTTGAGTTGCTGCCAAGTATATGCATCTCTGTAGTGGTTTTTAATTTTGTTTGTTACCAATGCAGTTAATGACTAACTTCCATACAGGTTTGTTTTGCCATGTTATGTTTTTCAGTGGTACAGTATAGTCCAAGTGTAAAATTGGGAAGGAAATAGATGAAAGAAAATAATTGGAAAATAAATGGGCGTTTTGGGGTGTAGTGATTGCATCCTTACACGTGCAGTTTCATACCGTGTTTTGTGACAGTCAGCAGTTTACTGACTTGTTAATGTTTTCCTGCAGTGACACAAATGAAGTTGACGTTCCCTTGAATACTAGAGTGGGAACAAAACGTTACATGGCTCCAGAGGTCCTAGATGAAAGCCTGAATAAAAACCATTTTCAGCCATACATCATGGCTGACATATACAGTTTTGGGCTGATAATTTGGGAAATGGCTCGACGCTGTGTCACAGGAGGTAAACTTCTATATATTCTGTATAAGATCTACAAGGACCTTTTTTCTCCTTAACCTTATATACTTTTCTTGAAAATAATGAAAGGAAATAATTGAACAAGCCTATTATCAACAGACTTGCCTTCTTTTAAAGCAGTACTAACTATCTGTCCAGCATATAAGCTGAAAACCACTGACCCTGAACCTTTTTGATTGTTAAAATTAAGAAGCTTAGGGGTTTTCTTCTCCTTTCTCAAAAAGCATAGTGTCGAGTCTTGGAGAGGTAGTGGGATACAGATGCACTGCAACTTTTAAAATGTAATTGCTGGGGTATTCTGATATAATTTATAGCATTTCTTATTCAGTGTTTTAGATATTCTTGTGACTTCTCCTTTCTTTCCTCTTCACTGTTCCTTTGTGACATTGTGGCATTTTTTCTGTTCTTCCAACTTTTGCTTTCTCCGTGTTTCTTTGTAGCTGAGATTGGAATAGAGGATGCCAAATTCTACAGTAGGTATTAAAATCAAAGGGACTGAAAGGAACTAGCATGACTTTTTAAACTTAATATTCATAACTACTGGAGTTCTACTTGTAAAAGATTGCTGTTATGAAGTTTTGGGCTTTTTGTTGCTGTATAATAGTGTGTTGGGTTTGATTTGGCATAAAGCTGTTTGGTTTTGCTCCGGGTTAAGGAAATCAGGGAGTAGAGACATGGATTTGTTTGTTGCTGTTGTTTTTTCTTAAATGGTGTTTAATCTTTCACATCTATCTCCAGGTATTGTTGAAGAGTATCAGTTGCCATACTATGACATGGTGCCAAATGATCCATCTTATGAAGACATGAGAGAAGTGGTGTGTGTCAAACGTCTGCGCCCAGTAGTATCTAACAGATGGAATAGTGATGAAGTGAGTATGCTGAAGGAAGAATTAATTCCATTTGTTCATCATTAAAGAAGGGTATTTTAGTTTTGAACATTAAGGCACTGACTGCCATCAGACATGCTGATATTTTAAACTTCACAGCAATGGTAGGATAAAAATCTGTTTGAAATAAACTCAAAATTCTATATTTTGATGTTAACTTTTGAGTAATCTGGGAATAAGACACCCTGAAATAGCATCCAAACATACGAGTGCTGCTCCAAATGATATCTTATATTTAGCTGATGGCATTTGGGAGTTTTAATTGAAGCGAAAGCCAATCAATTGTTTTTGTTTTTGTTTTCCTTACTGGTTTTACTAGTTTTAGTATGTATTGCCTACTGGTTTGTGATATTAAGTATTTTATTGAATATGAAGCAATTTGGTTGTATGTACATATTCAGAGTTCAGCTTTTTTTTTTTTTTTTTTTTTTTTTTACCCTGGAAGGTTATTAACAGGATCTTTACTTGTGAAGTGATTATTATGACAGGTGTATTTACTACTTGTTTCTGATTTCAAAAGGTATAACGTTTATACTGTGATGTAACTGAAATAATAAACAAAAATGTGTTTTTAAAGGGTCACGGCTTGAATGCAGTAAATAAGGCTTCACAATTTCATATAAAAGGCTACATATGCCATGCCCTTTTTTCCCCCAAATCTTAAATTTCTTTTAGGAATTCCCACTTTTCTCCTCAGTATTTTTGAGGGCAGGAGGAATTTCTGTCACTTAACTTGTTTCCTGTGAGAAAGTTATCTACATTTTCTCTGTTGTATGTGTGGATTTTTTTCTGCTTATTACTATCATTTATGTACTGACATTCTTGAGTTATAGCAACAAATTGTGGCAAAAAAATCCGTGAAACTTAAGAAATGCTTCAGTTAGTTTCAACAATTGTAGTACTAGGCAGTGGAGCTTAGGAGAAAGATCTCCATCAGCAGTTTTGCTGAAAATGTGTAAGTAGTTTGGGCTTAAGAGTGTTCTACTTTTAGCATGACAAATAACTGAAATTTTACACCTCAGATCTGTCTGTTGTTACAATACTTGTCCTTTGTTTCTTATTTAACAGTGTTTAAGAGCAATATTAAAATTAATGTCTGAATGCTGGGCTCACAATCCTGCTTCAAGACTCACGGCCTTGAGGATCAAGAAGACACTTGCCAAGATGGTGGAATCACAAGATGTAAAGATTTGACAAAGTAAACTGACATTGGACAGCAAAGCTGGACTCCTAGAACTTTTCACTCAAACCTGGGTGAGACCTATGTGGAAAGAGGAAATAACTGAGATTCAGTGTATTTTCTCACCACGCTTCTACAGGCTGCTAATCAAATCTTTCAGTACTTCATAGACTGTGATACTGAGAGACTCTCTACACTACGTGCTATGTATATGGACAGCCTTGATAAAATATGCATTTTGTTTTGGTATTAGCTGCATTGAGACTTCAGTCATACTTTGTGAGTCTCCAGTAAAACTCTGGGTACTGAATTGAATGTTTCGATTACAGTGCTTTCTGTGAAAGCCTAACAAGCTATTATGGATTCAACAGAGATGGAGAATATAAGCTTTTTATTTGCCTTCTACCTGATAAAACTTAGCCAATCCATACCAAGTTTTTGTGAAACAGCCTGTAGGTTATGAATCTGTTTGTGATGTTACTCAGTTTAACGGTTCCTTATGCATTTGTGTGTGCCAGAATTATTTTGCTGCCATTTGGAATTTAAATGAACAAAGTTTTATCGTCAGGGCTCTATTTTGTGACTTCACAATCGGAGATCTGCTACAGAATTGAATCCTTGCCATTAAGTGATCCTTGAAAAGTCACAGTTTTATTTCTATTCTTGTTTTGATCACAAGGAGAACTGCTAAAATGTGAACCATTTATAAATTAAGGAACGCCTGCCTGGTCTGTATAGTGCTTAAAACAATGTTCTTAGAGGCACAGATTGCCTTAGCCATCTCACTTACAGTAGGGTGGGCTCCATAATTTGATGAAATTTGGTACATTTTTCACAGTGCCACATGCAACTAGTGTTTTTACTGTAGGGTACTTCACATCTTAACAAAAAGACCTTTGTTGTGTTTTACTTTCCTTCCTTATTGGAACTCACTGGTAGGTGCCAGTCCTTCTCCTAACTTTTTTCCATACAGGAGGGAATTAATCAGCTGTAGAAGCATGCTTTCTCAATGTTTGACAAAACTAGACAGAAGGTAAGTTTTGGCAGACTTGAGAACCAGTCTAATTTAAAGACACAAAAGTAGGAGATTAGAGAATACAATAAAGGTTAGGACCTGGAAAACAGAATATGTAAACTATTGAAGATAAGATTCACAACGTGCTGAAGACTTGGAGCTGTGTTGCTCTGGTGTAAATGCAGGAGGTTATGTCTGTGGGCCACTTAGTGGACAATTGCAAAATTACAGAATTGAGAAAAGGTAAATCATTGGGTTTTTCAAGTTCTAGTCAGCTGTGTTTGGGAGGAATGACATAGAAAGATATTTTATGAAGATAAAAGGGATAAGTAGAGTTGCAATATTTGGTCCTGTTGTGCCAACTGGTTGGCGTGCACAAGAAACTGTAGTTGCCTCCTTTTCTCCTCCCATCCAGATGAGTTGGTTAAAAACCAGAACCCCTCTGTGAGGTTGCAGTAAGGCAGAATTATTTAATTATGGCTCCTTTGAAACTTCTAAGTCAGGAAACAGTACCATAAAGTTGAACCTTCAAGTCCATGAGTTGTCGGAAGAATGAAAACACAGTATTTGCAACCATTGAACCTATTTGATAATTTAAGTGCCTATAACTTTGTACTGTAAATCTTGTTCTAGATAACTTTAAAAAGGGAAGTTATTTATACAGTGTGTTTTGTGCTTTATTAAAAAAAATAATTAGTCCTATGTACATGTGTATAATTAGATACATTCACGCACACACACATATATGCCATAGTTGAGATTTGAAGAAAAAAGTTAGGAATAATATTAAAATTGAAGAAAATGTTAAAACATCAGGTTAATTTATGCAGATTATCTGTTGTCTGAAGGTGTGTACATGGAGATTGTTTTGATACATGTTTAAATTTCCCTTAAATACAACTGGTGAAAAAGTGTAATGCAGAACTAATGTGATTTGTGAACAACTACAACCTCCTAACATGTTATCTTTTCATTTTAATTCTGTAGTTTGCATAATGTAAATGGTCAGGCAAAAAGATAGCAGTATTTTTATTTTCTATTGTGATGTACAGACTTTATTTAATAGTGCTACAAATTTTATAGATAACTAGCTATTTTGAGGGACATTTCTTTTTTTTAACAATAAAGTCATTACTTTTGTTCAGTAATGCCTTTAAGTATTAATATGTACTCTGGCTGAAAAGTTCACAGATGTGTCAGCTATGATTTTAATTTATTTGAATATGGCAAAAGATACAATATAGTGCCACAGTGCTCATGGAAAAGGGCTTTTTAAAAGAAGGTTTCTCCGTCCACTGCCAAGAACTGTATGATGCGTTTGAAATTATTAACCATGTCTTTGCACATCATTTTTGCACAGGTAGCAGAAAAACATTGGGTATGAGCCAAAAACAGAAAAAAAGAAAACTTTTTTTTTTTTTTGGCTTTGCCTCTAGGATTTTTATCAGTAAGGAGAAATGTTTATCTAGGTATCCTGCTAGCTTAAACTTTCAGACTATGGAGATTTAGTTAAATTAACCCAGTCCATTTTAGAAATACTTTTGTTACTACTTTCAGAAGCTGTTACAGCATTGTAAGCTGTAAGTTTTGTAAAAATCAATTTCTCTCAAGCTTCAAGAAGCCGTCGATGACAGTATAAGCAAAACAAGAAAGTGAATTTCTGTAGTTTCTAATTATCTGCCTGTTTTCTCCTCTATTGTATAGGATTAACAAAGTAATAAGATGATGATCTTTGGTAGAAATCTTATAGACCTGAACTGATTTATGCATTCACTTAGACAAAGACGAGAATAAACTGCTGCAAAGATCTTCAATATTTGGGAGACAAAAATCCTTGATCCTGAAGATTAACCTGGATTTTTCAGCACTTCATTTTCCAGATTCATACTGAAACGTATGCTGCATGTGTCGTTTTCCCTAGTCATCAAGAGGAGCTGCTGGATCTTAAGTAATCCTTGATTCTCTGATATTCTAAAAAAGCCAGTTCCTAAAGGAGCTGTTTGCATGAAGCACTTCAGCACGCATCTACCTTCCGTGTGAAGTAAATCGCTGGAGCTCAAGTATGTCGATACTGATATTTTAGCCACCTTTCAGAAAGCTCTCAGCTCCAAGCCAGCCCATTAGTTATTATATAATGAAACAGACTCTTAGGCTAAGGTTTTGCTTTATGCAATACTGTAGAATTCAGAAGCCTTTAAGGGATAGAATAGATAATTGGGTTTGTCTGTTCACATGGGATAATAATCCTTTTTGGGTCAAAATTGTAAGGATTTGTCATCTAAAACAAGTCCCCCAAGTCTGACAAATATGATTTATGTATGCACATAAACATCAATAAAAATCAGAAGTGTGAAGTGCATGAGTGCATGTTGGGAGCGTGAAAACTGTGCCTTTGAATTTCTTAATTATTATTTTTTTTAATTTAACCTATTCCCTGTGATTTCAGTAATTTGGTAAATAATTTGAGTAACCTATATAATTACTATTGTCCAAATTACTTGCAAATTTCACAGGAAATATGATGCTCCTATTGTAAAATGTAGGCTTGTATTCTGAGTTCTGCTCAAAATGTAGTTTTTTCCTGAGTTTTGCTCAGGGAAAGGACACTTCCCAAAATGCATCACTTTTTCCTGATTATTTTCTTGGTGAGTCTGTCTTCAAGTATCGAATGAGATATAAAATGAATATTTTGTTACCTCCGTAGTGGTTTCAAATGAAATTTTAGATCTTGATCTGAATGACCATTTGAATGTGTTTTTAAAATGAAGCATTTGCATACATTTTGTCTACTCTATCCCCATAGCTTGTGTTTCAACAACCTGAAACGTTGGAGAAGCCAACGTAGTTAAAAAGTCGTCTTTGGCTTTAGAAGACCTATTAAAAGGGAAGTTAAGCATATCTTCCATCAACTATTAGGATGATACACTACTTCATCTTTCTTTTTGACGGTGCCTCTGAAATCAATAGGTTTTTATCTAGTGCCCACAGTCTTTGTTCTGAACAGGGAGTGATGTCTGAAAACAGCTGGCAATGTTGTATGGTGCAGTGCTTTATGGAGCCCTGGTGTGTTAGCTTTGTTTGGTGTAGCAGAAGTGGAGCACGCATTACTTCTAACTTGAGAACAAATCCAATGTAATTGTTGCATATTTTACCTTTGATTGCAGTTGCAAACACCCACACCATGTACTGACATTTGTGCTCTGACATGCCATGCCCAAAATAAAATGTATTATATTGTATACAAGATGAATAAATAACGTTGTAGCTAACTTAGAGAAGATGTAAATAAAAAAAAGAAAGAGTGGAACAAGGAAAACGGTCACACTCTTGTGTGTTATATGCCAGAAGTGTAGAATAATCCTTTAAAAATGTAACACACTAATGTATTTTGTACAGCATCTGCTTTAAAAGGTGCCTTATTGAGTTTACCATGAATTGCTTGTTCTGTACACAGATTATGTCCAATGTATCATTTTTAAGTAAATAACCTTATTTTAGTACACATTAGTGATGTGTTTTGTTACTATGAGGCTTTGTCTTAAAATGTAATGACTTGGAAATCATAATACTTGTGTTTTTTTCTGCAGCCCTTGAATAAGTCGTGAATGGCAACTTTGATTGCTCAGTGGAATCATGAATTACTTGATGCTTTATAGTCCTCTGCTTCTTGGTCTTAAGTTGAGCACAATGATAAAACCAGAGCTTCTTTGGTCTGGTTTTTTTTTTGTTTTTTTTTTTTTTTACTCTGCTTACAGTGAAACCAAAAGCAAATCAGAGTTGAGTAACTCTTTGAACATGTACGAGTTGACTACCTGCTGATTTTATCTATATAAATTTATCTCAGTGGGTCAAGCCAACTGAAAAAGGGAAAGAAAAATGGATGAGGGGTTCTTTTGTTGGCTCTTTGTGTGTGTGTGTGTATGTGTGTGTGTGTGTAGTAGTGTCCAAATCATGAAATTTAAGCTAATATGCTTCTCTGCTGTTGGTTACAAAATTATGCAGGTGTTTCTATACAACCTAGGTTTATGATGTTTTATGGTTCAAGTAAATGAAAAACAATCCAGGGGATACTTGGCTTTGAGTAGACAGTTGTCTAAAATCTCAGCATGTTTTTCGCGTTGCAGAAATGTGCCAGCTACTAAACTGCAGACAGTTCAGTTTCAGTTTGCAAGGAAGAAAAAGTAAGGTCAATTTTGAATCATTTTGTCTACGTAAAGGTATGTTTTGACCAGGAAGAATTTTGCTTTAGAGATAGCTTTTTACGATGTGTATAAGGGTTTCATGTCTGAGCATTACAAAAACAGTTAACCAGTATATTGTAAAAAACTTTTTTTCTTTGAAGTGATAATTTCACGTGTTAGATTTGTAGAATATTTTTTATCTGGTTTCAAACCTTTTTTTTTTGCACGTAATACCAGTAATTTACAGAGCCAGATTTGCTGCTCTTACGTTAGTATCTTGCAAGAGTAAATTTTCTGTCATGATGATGGCTGTAGCTGACAGAACGTATTCACTGATTGAGCTTACCATGGCTGGGATGCAGACTGTGGGTTTTCTTATATTTGCATCACAGGACATAATGAAAACACTGATTAGTTGAAATTTTGCACCAGTGGTTTGGGTGTTTTTTTGGACCAAGCGACCTAACGTTGCTCCTAGAAACGGCCACATGATGGCGGTATATCGCAAAGATACGAAAATCCTTTTAAACATGGTGGGGGTTTTGATGGTTGAAAATGAGTTCTACTGCCTACTAGTAATAAATACCAAAATCGTGTAGTTGATGTGTAATTGTTTTTCACCTTCATATTAAGTTTTTTCACCAATACACTCACATCAGTACTTAAGAACTGAAAGCCATGTCCAGCAGCATCTCCAACACCTTCTCAGTTACATTTTGTTTGAAGGCCAGAAAGCATATAAAATAGTAAAAGCATACTGAGTGATTTCTGAAATGAATCATAAAATAAAAGCAGAAGTATCAGTGATTTCAATTCCATAAATTCCATTAATCCTTTCCCTGGCTTTATCTTCACTGTTCCCCAAACCACTATTTCGGTCTGTCTCAGATATTAAAGGAGTAAGAAGTCTTTCAATACTAGGCATGAATCAGATTCCTGGGAGGCCCACTATTGTGAGTGGATCACCCCTATAAAACTGGTTCTTGAGGGGTGACCACCGTGGACTTCAGAGGCAGGATGTGGGCATGTGAAATGGGCTCAGATGAATCTGACTGCGGGATTTGGTGAAATCAACCACAGAGAGATAATAAAATAGAAAATTAATACACAAAATAGAAAGTTGATACACAATGAGTGCTTGAATTGTGAGTGAAGTAAGGAGCTCATCTCATAGTAATGAGGAAAAAATTAAGGAACTTTAATTTTAAAATGCAAAGCACTGTAAGGTACGTTCATAAAGCAGGTCAAGATCAGTAGCAAAACAATTTAGCAAAGATGTTGAAAGATACAGGGCATGGGGTTTTTGTTTTAATATTTTTATAGCTTTGGGGTTTGATTTGCAGATTTGGACTACTGGCAAAATTTTTTGGATGGTTTTCTACAGGTTTTTCAGGGAGTGCTAAGAGAAGCTGGGAGGTATTTTTTAAACATGAGAGTCATGTTGGTGATTGTGCTTAATAGGTGTGTATTTAAAGCAAAAACAAAACAAATAACAAAACCTCATCACTTAGGAAGGAAGACAAACCTCCTGGCTTATTCTGCCAATAGAGTGCTTGAATCCATTTTCCTTCCTAAAGTTTTTACTTCAGAATGTTAAAACGAGTTTTCCAGTCAGTTTCCCTTCTTCGTGTATGCAGGTGGTTAACTTAACATATTGAAAGAATACGAATATGAAAATGTCTTTATATTAACACTATATTCACTCTGGAGTCGAGCTCTGAATTTGTCTGCCTAATTCTTCAACAAAAATAACTCTGTTAAGTATGGCAGTACCGAACTTTTAAAAATCCCACTTGGGAGAACTGCTAGGATTGGAGATCACACGTACAGGCCTTTCTCTGTTCTCTGCTGAGCTACTACCTACCTTGCCTCTTTCCAAGTAGCTGTGTACTTGTCATTCCAATTGAAGTTTTCTGTCAAAGCCTTAAGAGCCAGCAAGTCTATTTGAAAACATATAAATACATATTCTCTCGATGTATTTAACTATAGCACTTGGTTGTACCTGCAGGATTAGTGTGCACTGCTCCTTACTCTCTCCTGACCTAGACAGCACTGTTTGCACTGCAGAATGCTGCCAGTGCAATAGCCCATAGCTGGGCCACTGGTAAAATAAAATGTCAAAAAATGTCTGGGTCACCTCCTTGTGATAGATTTTACTAACAGAACCCAATCTTACAAATTGATGGTTTTATTCCTTTTTTTGACATTTTGCCTCTTGCCATTTTTCTTCTCTTCCTTCCTCAGATATTTTGGCAGTCTGGGGCAGAAGTTGACTGAGCTCCTGGGCATCCAATGCTGCTTCCTGCAGAGCAGTGCAAGGGCTGACTCTGTACTAGATGGATGGGGAGACTTGTCCAGTTAGTCTCATGTGAATGGGACTACTGGCTACAAGTAGGCAGGAGGACATAACCTGCTAATTAGGTCAGAAGTGGCATTTTCTCTTTCCAGAGATGTTGAATTCTGTGTCTTAATCTGTGTCTGTGGCTTTTTGTTTCTGAATCAGTAGAAGGCATTTAATTATACTAGTTTTAGAATCTATTTGCATTGTTGCCTGTCCAGAAGGAAAGTAACAATCTTATCAGCGAGTCAGCAACTAAAACCACTTTGTAGTCTCAAAAGATACTTGCCAAACTGTTGTCTTGAGTGTAGCATGTATTGGTACCAATGCTTTTTAATTATCTTGTAGTGTAGTGTCATTCAGAATACAAATAGGTGGGGAGAAAAATTCTTGACAGAAATTTTTCTGTCAGAAAGCACTATTTTAAAGGGCATAAAATACATCTTAGGAGTTCATCTCTTTCATCAAAAGCATTGGGAATTTTAAAGTGCATTTCATTTTGCCAAATGGAATTGTTTTTATATAGTTTTCTAAGTTGTGTTAGGGAAAACAAAGAATAACAGAACTTCAAAATGAACAACTTTGGAGATGCTTCATTTGACAGGAAAAATTCAGGATGTGGCCATTCTGAGTTTTTGTGGTTTTTGTTTTTGTTTTTGAAACTCAGACGTCCACTGTTCAGAAATCCTGCTCTTTGCTTTTTTCTAATTATAAATTTATTTTATATTCAACCATGACATTAGGCCAGTGAGCTTGTCTACTTGCTGAAAATTTAGTTTGCTCACTCACTTGATTTTAAACTACTAAACGTTGGGCTGTCTGGGCTGTATTCATGACAGGAATATCCTTAGAAATAAACTATATTTTCAGCAATATTTTTTTTGCTATTGTTGACATATTCCTCATGTCTACATTAGGAATGTATGTATATCTAACACATCCTAACAGTGTTATGTTACTATTAAGTTCTGCAGTGTTGTTGAAATATACCAGGTCTAGAAGGAGGGAGGCTCAGCCGCTTCTAAGATCCTTGCTTACAAAGGCTGTACAGGGTGCATCTTATTGGATTTGATTGGTTTTTTTGTGTTTTTTTTTTTCCTAGTGTTTGTGTTACATACAGACTGAAATGTGGAGTTAGAGTGAATCGTAGAAGTTTTCAAGACAGTCTGCCTGGTCCACAGAGAACAGAGAAGTAAAATTGTCTTGGCTTCTTGCTTTTGAGCAACCACTTAAAAAAAAATATCACTGCTAATATATAGTCTGAAATGTTTTTCCTTGACGGTGATGGGGACATCTGCCACAGGAGGGATTCTTTTTTCATAGAATCCTAGAATGGTTTGAGTTGGAAGGGATCTTAAAGATCATCTAGTTCCAACCCCCCTGTTGTGGATAGGGTTACCAACTACTAGACCAGATTGCCCAAAGCCCCATCCAGCCTCACTGCCAGGGATGGGGCGTCTACAGATTCTCCTGGCAATCTGTTCCAGCGCCTCACTACTCTCTGAGTAAACAATCTCTTCCTGTTGTTTACATCTATCTTCTTTTAGTTTAAAGCTGTTACTCCTTATCCTGCCACTGTACCCCTTCATAAAGAGTCCCTCTGTGGATTTCCTGTAGGCCTCCTTTAGATACTGGAATATGGCTATGACATCTCCCTAGAGCCTTCTCTTCAACCCCATTTCTCTCAGCCTTTTTCATACGAGAGGTGCTCCAGCCCTCTGATCATCTCTGTGACCCTCTTCTGGACATGCTGCAAGATACCCATGTCTTCCTTATGTGAGGGTTTCCAGAGCTGAATGCAGTGCTCCAGATGGGGTCTCATGAGAAAGGAGAAAAAGAGAAATGAGTTTTAAGTGAAGAAAGCCCCGCAAAGCATCTGTTCTGATTAGGTGCAGTTCTCCCTGTGGAAGGAATTGAGAATGTGCATTGATATGTTTGGAATCCAAACCATTAGGTCATCACTTGAAAATCACACTGCTGCTC